GTTGATGTCGGCCTGGCTGAAGAACCTGGCTGGGGACAGAGGCCTGTCCCTGTGCTCCACAACACCTGTGGGTGCAGAGACACCAGCGTTACCAGGAGGGTTAATTACCTGATCCCACAGCTTCCTCTGCTTCTTCCCCTTTGGGTACTTCTTTGTACCGCTTCCAGAACAAGTCACACGGGTGCAACTGCATGGAGGATGGGCTCTAAGGACAAAAATGAAACAATGATTCCTCACTGAGGCATTTCTTCACAGAACCTCTCACTCGACAGGTGGGAAGCAGAAAGCCATGGGACACAACATTCAGTATTATTCAGACAGCAGCAAAAACTGCCTGAACCCTGCAGCACATCCCTAAAAAGGCTGGGTTAAGGAACAAGGTGTTTAAAAGCCAAGGAAAGAGGCCAGATGGATTAACAGGTGATGCTCTGAGGGAAGCAGGAGATGTGCTCAGAAAATGTGGCATGCAGCAGGTACACTTGCCTTGCCCAGGAAGGAGAGGCACAGTCACGTTGTACAGGATTTTCTCACTGGGAACCTCCGGGTCTACAAAGGAGAGGTGATGGGGCTCAATCACCGTCACACGGTCCTCCAGCACCTCAATAAACACATCACACCATGAGCATCAAGGCCAGAGACAGGGGAAGATTCACCCAAAAATGCACTGAAAGAGAATTTGCTTTGCTCTAGTAAATATAAGACAGTCTTGAGATGTAAAGGCCCAGTTCTGAAACCTGACCCTGACCCCCTGTCCCCTGCAGATGCACAACCTCCACACCCACAGGTGGCCAGGTTTCTCTTTTGGCCTACAGTAATTAAACAGAGAGAAAGGAAAACCTAGTTTGATCAAGAATCCCCTGGATGAACACGTAGTTCATTGTCTGTGTAGTTTTCTCATGTAGTCTGATGTGGCTGGACTTCATTCTCTTTCAAAAGAAAATGACTGAAAATGACTCAGCCCATTCAACTGGAATACAGAGGAACCAAAGCTCTCCTTTTTATTTTAAACCTGACTAAAATTGCTCTCATCCTTCCATAACAAGATTATCATGAACCAAAGGCAGGCAGGGCCTTAAAGGAATTACAGTGCTACTTGAAGAGACTTAAGTGCCCAAAACCACTTAATTTCCACGTGTTCATGAACCTTAATCCTGCAGAATTAACAAATTAAACTGCTCAGCTGGGTATGAAAAGCGTCCAGCTCATTTCATAATCTTGAGCAAAAATAGGGAGAGAACAAGCTAAGTTAAGGATTTGGGCACTTAAATAACCTGCTTTGGAACATGAAAGGTTACCAACATGGGGGAATGAGGTTTACTTGATTGAAGAAAAACCAATATAGACGTTGTGTCCGGTTTAACAAAAGAGTCATCAAACTTCTCTGGACCTTTCCCAGCAGCACAAGTCCAATTCAAGACTAGAGGGATGGGAGGACTCACAGTATTGTGCTTTCCTCTCAGCTTGGGAAGCCTCATTCTGAAGGAGTCTGAAGATGAATGAACAGAACTCCATCACACTGGGGCAGGGAAGTGAGATTTTCTGACAGAAAGATTTAAGGTTATGTTTCTTCCTCGCTGCCTCCAAGGCCTATTTGTCTCTCCCAAAGGTGGGACTTGTAGGTGGTGAGGTAAAAGGTGTTTTATGGCCCTATTGAATTTTGTGGGGAGTAATTAGCTATAAAACCCAGCGCTGTGTGGCTCTGCCAGACATCTCTCCCATCAATTCTGCCAATAATGACAACAACAAAAAGTCAGGAGCAGGAAGATGAATGGCTCCAAGTAGCAGTCTGACCATGTTTCATTACCACCCAGGAAAGGTCGCCACTATTTCAAACCTTGACAAGGCTGTTGTGCCATGGGCTTCCCACTAATCCCTCTCCCATTGCTCCCTGTGCCTTTCCTGGCCCCATGCCTGGCATGCAGGCCAGGAAAAGCAGAAGGGACAGCCACAGGTGGTGGGGACACACAGGGAAGGCTTGCACCACAGCCTGAGAGCCCACAAAGCTGACCTCAAACTCTGTGATCATCTTTCCAATCCACACAGCTGGGGAAGGAACCAGCTTAGAGAGACCATTCTCATTCAAACAGTCATTCCCAGAGCAGCAGGTAGGATCAAGTTTACAGTGGAACTACTGGCAAACCCCACTCATTATGGTCTAAGCCACAGTTTTTCTCTCTTGCCATTCCTCCTGGCTTCTCAGGAAAGGGTAAGAATTACACAAAACATTGATGTTGCTTCTCTTTCCCCCTCTCCTTTCCAGTCTGTACATTCATTACTTTTAATCCTGAGTTTTTCAGCTTTTCATGGGTACTATCTGCATCCCCCAGGCCAGTTACTCTTCTAATCTGCTTTTTTCCCCATGCCTACTCCAGCCATGTGCGTGGTGCTGCCACTTACAGCCATGTGCAGAGAGGAGCCGAGGGAAAGCTGAGGGGCCCTGGGGGTCTGGGGCAGAACAGCAACGTTGAACACGTGGCTTTCCAGGCTGGCTTGTGGACTGGCTGCGCTGGACACCTGGGAAGAAAAGGCCACAGGAATGGACAAGTGAACATCCCGAAGCCTTCATTTTTAGAAAATGCATAAAAAAATGTAAGCTCTGGTGAAAGGAACAATGTCATTTTAGCCATTTGCTGCACCTGCTCTGTCCTAAAACCAATGAAATGTCCCAAGCCAAAGTTCAAGGCTTGGACTTGGACAGGGGTGCCATGGTGTCCTGATGTGACCAGGTATTCCCAGCTCCCCTTCTGAGCTCTCTGTGCAGTTATTGCTACTGAGATACTGAACCCAAACACTCAACTCATGCAAAATGCATAGTCTCTAAGAGGAATGCAGCAATTAAGCCAAAGATTAGCTTGTTCAACACTGACGCTCACAAATTCCTCGTTATCACTTACGTTAATTACTTTAGAAATTACCTTAATTGCCTCTGTGGTGCTACAGTAATTGCTCCTGCCTTGTAAACCAGATGTAACAAACACTGTGTGCCAGTGTTCACGTAGGCTTACTGAGGGCAGGCTGTGAGACCCTCCCAGCAAACAGCAAGGGCCTGTCTGAGCAATTTTATGGCTCTTAAACCTCGGGGGAGCGCGGATTTATTTCAGTTTCCCAGCTGCTGGGGAGTATTTCTCCCTTTTGGCCTGCACGCAAGACAGAGGACTCTGAAGCCAAAAATGAAATTATTAGCTTAGAAACCAAGGGCTGTGTGACTCTGGGGCTCACCGGTTTGTAAAAAGTCACTTGGAACGTTTTTCAATATTCTAGGTTGTATGTATGCTGTGTCCTGACTCCCCAGGACACGAGGGGAGTCACTCCCTGAGCTGCCACGTGGTGTTTCTAGGGAAAGGCCGAGAATACCTGGAAGTGGAAGGAGTCAGTCTCCACCTCGGCCCCCGAGTGCCGGTACCACACGAGGCCGTCGCTGATGTCCTGCTGGGTGAAGGAGGCGGCGGGCGAGGCCGCTCTGCCGTCGGGCAGCAGCTGCCAGGAGCCGGCCGGGCCGTCCGCTGCCATGGGCGCCAGCAGCACCACCTCCCCTGCAAGGCAAACGGGAGCTGGGCACAGCGGGCAGCCAGCCAGGGACAGCCAAGGCAAATGCCCACCCCCTCCGAGCCTTTCCCAAGTGACAGAAATGCCAGCAGGGCTCCCAAAAGCCAGCAGCAGTCGTGGACACATCCCGGTGACACTGGGCAATCCTGTTAATTAATTCCACTAAACGGGCTGATAATTCTGCTGATTGATAATTAATCACTCTGTTATGTGAATCATCCGTCATAAGCTCTCCCATTTCGTTTCCTCCAACCACCCTTGAAAAGTTGGAGCAACAAAAAAAAAGTGGTTCAGCAAGATGCAATATCACACTTCCATTCCATCATCAAACTCTGGGCCAACATTGCTTTTTCAGTACCCTAATTACATTCCAGATGTTATGGTTTTGCTTATGAGAGTTCCCCTAAAAACCTAAAAGTCAAATTCGATATTTTCTATAGGTATGAATATCTTTCCCATTATTCACATTTTCTATAGGTATGAATATCTTTCCCATTATTCACAGACTAAGTTAAGCAGATAAGGCCTCCTGGATTCAGGATCAATTTTCCACATTTCTCTCTCTTACTTTTTCCCTCCCTTTCTGCAAAACAGTATTTCAGACAAAATTTTGGGGGTCATTGATTTCTGCTGCTTCTTCCTGCAGCTACAAAACTGCTTATACTACTGCAATTAATCACAGCAGCAATAATTATGGTGCTACAAATACAGGATTATAAATTTTAGTTGGGGTTAGGCAGCAGGAGACAAGCTCCTCAGGGAAAAACTCCTGTATTCCTGTAAATGCTTATTAAAAACTGGAAGACAGACCTTCATCTGCAGAAAGCAAAAGGGGGAATACAAATTAATTACTTCTCTTCTAAACTGCAAAACTCTCATTATCTCTGTTTCCATCAGGTGCTGGCAGCTGATGGAAACCAGCCTGTCCTCCCAGCAAAAGGAAATAAAAGAAACACATGGATGTTGCTAAGAGGGATCCTCTAATTTTCCCAGGCAAATTATATGCGGTATCATTTCTTAGAAGTGCAAAACATGTTATTTGAACACATGGATTTTGTGAAGAAAATAGTGATGCTGAGAAAGAAAGGAGCATTTTTCTTTTCTTTCCATATTTCCATTCCCTCGACATGACGTGTCTTTTTCATCCCGTGTTTCTCCATTTATGGCTCAGTCACAAATCCCAGAACCTTCCACAGCCTCCTTACCCTGTACCCAGAAGATCCTCCCTAAGCATGGGGTTTCTGGTGAAAGTCACTGCTCTGAGAGCTGAGCTCAGAGCCTCTCAGGAGGAATCTGGAGACAAGAATTACCTACAGATCCAAACAACACCAGAAATCCTGTTTCGGTCAGCAACCCCTTCCTCTGGGCCAAATTAAATCAAATTAAAGTCACAGAATGTAGGGAATTCTTCAAGGTGTATTTCTGCTCAGCAGTTTCCAGAGGCAGATCCTGCTCTGTGCTTCTCAAGGCAGGCATTCACCATGGAGGATTATCTTGTGGCACTAACATTCTGCTCTCTCAGGGCTGTAAACACGCCAGCATTCCACCACAAGTGGAGGAACACAGATGATCAGGAAGGGCAAAGGTGCTTTGCTCCTCTGTGCAGCCATGAGGAGTGGACAAAGATGGGGTCAGCACACTCAGGCACTGCCCCATCCAAGGGAAACCCTCCCCAGAGGTGCAGTAACAGCCTGGCAGGGCTCTCTGTGGGCTGCAGGCATTTACCGTGTGCAGGCTGCCCCTCAGCGATGCTGTAGGTGATGTCAGCGTCCCTGGCCCCGGGCAGCTCGGCGTGCA